TAACGGGATAATTTAAAACTATGTTTTAAATGAAGAAGTATCCTTGACAGACAATCTGTGATTGAATTCTGACTTACTTTGAATGACAGACAAATTCGGTCGTGCTTCTCTATTTTACATTCAAAATGATTTCTTCTGCGGAACTATGCTTCATTAAGTTCGAATTTGAAGTGCAAGACATTTTGCCTTTCATTGATCGTCCAAAATTATTCACAAAAGCTTATTTATAGTCCCGACACCGTTGCCCCTTTAACTGCGTTCGTTTTCTCCTGTTGTCGAATAAACCGTGCACAGTGAATTAAAGTGTCCGGTTTTGTAGTATATTTATCAACGTTGCTTATTGGTGATATATTCTATGTTATACGCTACTACGGTCAACTAGCTTTCATCGTGATATATTTTAATCTTCAAGTCTGTGGTTATTATATTTTTTTCGGCGCCTTGAATTCTCAAACCACCGCAAACTCGTGATTGTTATAATAGCTAAACCCTTCTGACTGAATATATACGTGCAGTGGAGCATATGTGAGCATCTTCGTAATAAAATATCATAAAACTAATTTAGACGAAACCTAGAACTGATGGACACACAAATCGCATGCAGCTTATCGTGTTGGCTATCGACATCAGCAAGACAGGTTCATTTAAAGTGAAGAGTCGTTTGAGGCAGATTCAATGGCCTATTTTGAGAGCAAACGGATGATATAAATATCTCAAGTTGTGAGCCCGAAAATAAGGCCAATTTCCTTGCCCATTTCCCTGATAGTTGCGCTAAAGACCGCCTCCGCAAATCCTTATCCTCCGCTAGGCCTCATTCCTGCTCTTCCCACTTTCTTGTTTACTAGACGTTAAGTGCCTAAATCGGAAAATCTTTTCTCCTCGTTCAAACATTGTTACTTAACAGCACCACTCAGGGTATAAGACATGCAAGCTAGTGGTGTGCTTTATTAAACGGGTAATCTTAGACACCGTTATTTTAACCGTACTACAAATTTGTGTTCTTATACTGTCTTATAAAATTTCCTCAAATTTCTTCGGCAAAATTTCGATTTCGTAAACTAAATGTCAACGAAAAATAAAGGCAGCGGAGTACTCATCGTAAAGAACGAGATGCTAGGGAGTCGTCAACTAAGAAACTTTTTAAATTAGACTTGCAGACGACCGCCGATCGACGTGACAAGTTGGCTTTCTAAAAGAAAGTTGGTTAAACAACAACTCATTCTGGCCCAAGGTAAATGTAAAACAAGCCCTTGTGCGAATGCGTTGGAATATTGGTTAGCGTCTGAAAATCCCCGAAGTAGTTCGAACTCTGCCATTTTCGAACTAGCATACTGTGTTGGGTCAATATTCACAAATAAAACGTGCATGAGTGTATGTCGTTTGTTTTAGCCAATGACCACTGGAAAGTGTAATCTGTTGTAATCAGATGCAATAGAGAGCGTACATCTTTTCAAACTGCAATGCAAAATCAGTCGTTTGACGATCGGTTGTCACTGGGCGCGATGCATCCATTTCTAGTCTGAAATCAGTGCACAACATTCTCATGTTGCTGAATATTGTCTACTTCAGTATCATTGACATAGGCTCGTATTGCACAATGATCAACTGACTAATGTTCGAACCACAGGCATGCAATCTGGGTTTGTGGGTTACCTTGTTGACAAGAACAATTAAACCGGGATAGACCATTTCTGTGCCTCTCTTCCGGCATCTGGCTGCTTTTTGCTAGTTTTGTAACTGCTTTTGTCGATACGAAGACTAACTAACGACAAGACAGGACTTCCGATAAATTTCTTTCGGCAATCCTCAGTATGCACTGTGAATGGCTGATCTTGTAAAATGTAAGCCGAAATTTTGAAACTCATTTTCGGTTAAAAAGGATAACGTAGGTAGGATTGTACCATCCACTATCGGGCAGCATAAGTCTATAATGTTCCGGACTCATCAAGCTGTCGGCTTCTCAAGGCACTTTTTTAACTCCTGTATAAGAGCACCCAGTAAATAGGACAACTCATTTAGTGTGAATTTTTCACTTTGCTATTTAGTAGTCTTGTAAATTAAACATATATTTTATAGGCGGCCACGGTAGAATCTGTTTTCGTATACTCATTTGAGAGCAAATCCCGCCATACTGACATTTATGCCGTAAAAAGAGTATATTTGGTTTTGAAACGATTTTAATTGTGAGAATATTAGGGTTGTGCAATGTCCATTCATACAGCATCGTGTCCGTCTGTTTATTAATGCTCTTCACGCAGTGAACAATAAAGCTCCATCTATCGCAAAATTTGATGAATCCTAAATGAGATCCTCTTAACGGCATAAAGGAATACATGATTTTCCTTACGCAAGAAGCCTACACCGTGTAGACTTAAATTGCCAAACACTCGTGCAACATCTGATTTGGCTCAAAATTATTCGAGAGTCAGTAAACTTATCCAAAACCCAACCATAGACTTCTTTGGAGTGTAAAATGCAAAGGCAAAGTTATCTGCTACCAAATAAGCGAGATAGAACCTATTTTTGAGCATGTTTTCTGTAAAATATATTTTAATTCATAAAACGTTAAATACTAATGTGAAAAATGCACATTAATTGAGCAGTCCCTTTTTAGGAAAAGTAGAAAGAAGCGCACTCAAAAGTCAGCATCCCCTCGAGTTTAAAATTTTACAAGATTATGCGATGTGATAAGTAATATTGTAATCTCAATTACGTTATCCATTCTAATCGAAAAGCCATTTCAAAATTTTAGCTGACATTGCATGAGGTCGATCACTCAGCGTATTTGGCATGGCCAAGTTCATTGCTCTATTAAAATACTTGCCGTTATCCCGTTTGGCACCGGCAAATGTGTTGACAATATATGGGAATTAGTTAGTTACACTTACCTTCCTTTCACAACTTTTTGAGACAAGCAAAGGCACAGCCCGGAAATCGGTTGGCAAATGGCCAGGCTTTAGCCTAAATACAATTCAATTTAATAAGTTTTAATCTAGGGTAAGGTGACACCATACTAACAGCACAGGTACTAGCCAAAAGCCCATACACGCGTGTTTCGCCGATGTTTTGCCGCTGCATGGCGCAGCTGCGAGGGGTTCGGCTCGTCAGTGGGTCCCCCAGCATTCCCCGTGTGTTTTCTGGTAGATACTCCAATTTAGAAATGGTCACTTTTTAATTTCCGGAGAAATTTTGTTTTTTGAAAGAACCTCAGTTTAAAATATTTGAGTCAACATCAACGTACACCGAGCGACTCTTTGAATCCTTACATGTTCTAAAACCCCTACAAGGACAGTTTTTCCTCACTCGCCGAACGAGGAGAACACTATTTGAAATTGTCTTTCGTTACAGAGATATGATAAGTAAAATGAGGCCTAGCCACAAGAGCCTTTAAGCTCCGGATGGATACCGTGACAGATTTGCGCCTAAATATAATGTTCTTTAATGGCAGTAAAAAGTAAGACAAATTTAGCGTCAACGATGACAGTGAAATGTGCACAGGAGTCCACAGCTGGGCGGAATAACCCCATATGCGACAACGTGATATCAGTGTTGCCTAATGCAGCGTCAACCGTACTACGTTGGCACTGAATCTTCACACTGCGGTCGGGTATAACACAAGCATTCATCTTATTTTGGCAACTGGTATACAAAATTTAAAACAGTCGCGGTGACCACGCAGTCCAGGTTTCTGCAGTGACTGGCTCAATGCCAGTAACAGTATGGTCATCGTTACCGACGATGTCTACCTTGTGCCCCACAACATGACAAGCGCAAGACGGTGACGTGTGCGTGAATTAATTTATGGTTGTCTTAGACTTGCGTTGCATCTACTGCCCTCTCTCAACTCTAACCTTCCTTAACATGGTGTCAAGACTGACACAGAACAATCGAAGGCGGGATAGAGCACAGTGACTGAGAAGGCTAATCCGTAGTTCTGCACGTACCGCGCACGCTTGGTCCGCGTATGATAGACCGGAGTTTCATCAAAATTGCAAGGGGACGACTCGGATCCTAATTGACTGGAAGTGCTGATAAAGACCACTTTAAGAAGGAGCCGCTGCAGCCTGACTCTGTCCTAAGAGAAGGGCCGGGTTATCCCGTCAGTTAACAGCCTTTCAAATCCCGGATTTTAGCGCATCGTGATGGGTCAAAATTTCGTCAGATTGTTTATAGTGAACAGGCTGCGCAAAGTGCCGTGGGAACACTGTCGACTGAATCGACCTCATTCCCCCTTTCATCTTACAGGCACCAGTGCATTGTCCGAGCCGGTTTGTCTTTTGCTATGGGGATTGAGCACAGTAGTTGATAGGCCTAGAGTAACCCTCTGTGTGCGCCACACACCATCTTAACCCACACACACAACGCACCAGGTTTTCATACAAAGGGGCTGCATGACATTGATCCCGCATGAGTGAGAACGTTTGTGGGGAACGCAATAAGAAGTAGGAATTAAGCCGGATTGGCAGTCGACCACTCTACAAAAATAGTACTGGGTTGTACTGGTAGTGGGCACTCTTGCGAATCACGTCATTCAGTGCGTCGTTACGTCTTCAAGCGCATCTGGTTTATTATAGTGACGAGTGCGCTGGAATGCCATTTGGATGGAGAACCCAGAGTCGGCCTCATATCCTCTTCCCTCTCAAGTGCATCGTTCGATTGTCCAAACAAGTAAAACAACTGATACTAAAAATGTGAGAGGTAGCTGACAGAGCTAAATCGGTTCGTTTGCGTGTGGCACACGATTTTTCCCTCTCTTGCACAACATGCTACGTTACCAAACAAAATAATGAGTAGCTCGGACCTCACATGACTTATAATCCTACTTATTTGGGATTTTCCTGTTCTGCGTTTGCGGTAGATGATGCCAGGCGAGTTTATGTATGGTGTATGTGTTGGTGAGTGATACGTGACGATGGATTGGGGCCTGCAATCTATTACTGCAAATTTTCCTGCAAGCTTATATGTTTGGGTAAGATGACACGGTGATTAAGTATCCGTGGTCAATATGGATATTCGGCGGTGGCGAGGCGGGTGTATGTTGGCGCTGCTGGAAGTAATTCACTAGTCTCGATGCGATGAATTCGTAAGTAGCCGATCAGGCCGCTGTGAGATGCACGTACGAGGTGTAAATATTGGCGAGATAGGCTGTGAGTTTTTGCGTTGGTGTCGCTGGTGATGGTGCTCGCGGTGGCGTAGCTGGCAGTGATGGTGTTGATAGTGTTGGAGGCGAGAAAGATGTTGGATTTGCAAGGTGGGCTTAGTATCCGCTGTTGTCGATGCTCACATGGTTGAGTAGGTTCAGGTGACGACTGGAGGTGCGACGTGCGAGGGTGTATGTTTTGTTCGAGGCACCGGTTTGCGGGATACTCGCGACGGACTCGCATGCGACCGACCGAGCGTATGTTTGATACAAGGGTAATATCGCAAGAAGGAGAGATCAGGATCGGATTCGTAATGTTGGTGGTGGGGTTAATGGGGCTAATGGTGAGGGTGGTGGTTGGTAGGGCGTCGAAATTTGCCATTCGGTGGCGGTGGTCACCTTCCCGGCCGTAGTTGTGGCTGCAAAACGGGTGACTGTGGGGGTGTTTGCGAAAGCAGGATACAGAGTTGTTCTGGTGCTATTGTGTCAGTTACGAGGACGTCCAACGGAACTGATACGCGCATAGAATACCTATCAAGAGCGTAAACCTGTTGGAAGGGGTGGCATGGGGGTTGGGCTCCGCGACGCTTGCGACTTGCATCTGCTCTCTTGTCCAGGACAGCCGTGATGCGGTTGGCTTCGTAAATTGTTGCTACAGTATTCATTGATATAATTCATACCTGCCGATCATAGGCAAAATTGTCATGGTTGCCAAACTAATTTGCAAATCCTTGAAGAAATATATGAGACGCCTCTGGAGCGTCGTTCTTTCTCCCCTCGTCGGCGAACACGCGTAGCGATGTCGCTGTAGAAGAATCGCCAGGGTAAGAGCTCGTCAGTTACACTCACGAGATGGTTGCCCTAGCGCGGTTGCTCTAGCATGACATGAATTTTCTGGATTTTGGCTCATTCAAGGACTAAAGCATCTAAGATCTTGTCCTGTTATCTTAGTTTATGCGTTATGATAAACCAGTTGGTAAATTGCACAGGCGTTGCAGTATTTATAGGATGTATTTACTTGGCCGCCAAATGCCTACCCCCGCGATGCACTCGAGAGCTGCCGACTGCGATAGTCGTGTATCGACCTAGCAACAACATTCTACAAATACTGCAACACCTGGGCAATTTACCAGCCTTTTCTGACTCTGTCTCTGGTGATGGATTCGTGTGAGAATCCGAACCGTTAGGCTAATAAAGTTCCTGTTCCAGTGATCTGTCTCCTTCTTTGCGATTACTTCCTGGAACTTGCCTCTTCGCTTCTATTAGCAGATATGGTTTTCACTGTAATCGGTGTCTGGTGTCGGCCGATTCATGGCCACCGTTTTCTTTGTGTTGATGGTCAATCCGAGGTTAATGCAGCCGCAGACAACGAAGTCTACACTCCTTTGCACGACGGCTTTCATCGTATTGAGTGTACGGTCATCCGCGAAAAACAGACCATGGGTACTCGTCTGGGATACTCTTGAGCATACATGCATGCGTCATCAGTTAAGCAGTTGTCCCTCGAGCCGGTAAGCAATATTTATTTCCGGCTCATCCACATGGTAGGCGTCCACCGGCATAGCGAAGAACAAGAGGCGGAGGAGGGAGGAAGAGAGTACAGAACCCTGATTCACTCCAGTGGTCCCTGCAAATGCCTCAAAAACTGCTCCATTTACCATGACACGAACTATCGTTCCGTCGTGTAGTTGGCGTACTATGTGCGCTAAACGTTCTACACATCTGTATTTCAACATGGTCTTTCAGATTCTGCCACCATTCACTGGATCGAAATCGTTTAAGAGGTTTCACGAAATTAGCGTACAGGCTTGTCCACATTTTTTGACATTTCCCCTGTAACTGATGGGCGGCGAAGACCCTGGACACCTGGACTTCTTGGGAAGCCGCAGTGTCTTGCCCAGGGTTGTTCTGCTTCCAAGTTGGTGTTCAGGGAATTGAAGAGGATGCGGACGAAGATCTTTCCCCTAATAGTGAGGAGAGACTGCCTCAGAGTTGATAGTCACCCTTGAATTTGTAGAGGTGCACGATGATATAGTCTGTAAAATATCAGGGGACATGCTCTTGCTACTGCTTATTTCGGGACAGTCAAGTGGATTTGCCCATCAGCCGTGAGTCGCCATGCGTGTAAAGTCCGATCGGGATGGCGTCAGATCACAGTGTTTTTCCATTGGAAAGCTGTTGCACCGGTTTGATTGTCTCTGGGAGGGAAAGCGGATGATCCACTTCTGTGCTGGTTTTCGCCTCGGAAGCTAGTTGATGGCGGCAGCCGAGAACGATTCTAAAATGCGCAGCATAATCCTTTAGCATTTTCTGTTTAACCGTAAAGAGATTGATACCGTCACAACTGAGCAGCGGCACGGTCCTTCCGATAAGCTTTTCGTAAATTTCCTTGACAAATACAAAGACATTATACATATCACTGCGGTCTGAGAATCTGTAGATTTCTTCGGCATTGCGATGCATTCACTTATATCACATCTCCGAACGGCAACGCCGCATCAGACGGCGACATCCGAAGAAGGTCGCACTCTTTGCGTCGGCTCGGCTTTTGATGTAGGTTTTCTGCGGTCTACTCGTCTCTGTGAGTTGGTTGCTGATGGCTTCGCTGTCATCATCTTACGCATTCTGATGTTGACAGTATTGGGTATCAAGGACGCTTAAGACGGAGGAGTATATGACGTCACTTCGTTTTTCTGGTGGCTTTTTCGTCCGAAGTCTGTGGCTCGTACAGGAGGAGGACTAATTAGTTGCTAAAACTGAAGCAGGTGAATCCACCATGTGAATTACTTAAGAACTTCTGCTTGGGCAATCAACTTACTGTATCAGATTTCGTGGATTCCAGACGTTGTAGTTGGTTGGGCGGGTAAACTTGACCCAAATGCGATTAAACTCGAGTCGTCCGGCGGGGTCTCGTAGCTCAAGTGGTTAGAGCATCGGCTGCACTAAAGCCCTCTCCTTACTGCGTGGGTTCGAATCCCACCGAGGCGCCGAGTTTTTCACAGTTGGGTCAATATGAATTATTCAAAATCTGTCAACATACCTGTGAATATTTATTTTACTGCTGGTCGCGTATCTTTTGGTATCCTGCGAGGTTGCCGTCATTGTTTCATAGTGAGAAGGGAGAGTAATGAACTGTTCAACCATTGGCATCGCTGCTTGTCTTGATCACCGCATATCCTGTTGCTCTCGCCGCCAGATGAGAGCGTAGTCTAGCAGCTGCTAGTGCTGCTATCAGTGGTACACTCAGACTACCTTCTCTCGCGATGGAGGGCGGAAGGTGTTGGTCAGCTGGAGGCGGAATTCTGCGTAGGTACGCAGACGGAAGTGGCCGACTTTGTTGCATTCACCGGTTCCATGTGGACCCAGCAATCCAGCTCAACACGGTCAAAGAAGTCACCAAAGACAGTCAGCTTGTCCGCCTTCAGCACAGTCGCCATGAGGACGTAAAGGCCTTCGTAGAACTTGTTCTTCACATCGTTGGAGTGTTTCGTTGGGGAGCGTAGACGCTGACGATCATGGCGAATACGCTTCCCTGAAAAGACATGCAGAGGGTCATGAAGCGATCGTTGATGCTCTGCGGCAGACAGAACAGTCGTCCAACAATATTGTCTAAGATGGCAAATATGATGTCATTGTAGCGTAGCTTTGCCTTTGGACGGTCCCCTCCGAAGGAAGCGTAGCCGGCATCCGCCTCGTCCAGTTGGCTCTGCTTGGAAGAGCGCGTCTCGTTGAGAGCAGCACTGTTAATCTTATGGTCTGCCAGTTCTCTAGCCACTAGCCTCGTAGTCCTCTGTGACTGGTTGCTCCTCAGGTTGTCTAAACGAGAACGATTATTCGTGCCTTCCAAAGTGCGCCGAGTTTCTTAAAAGCCTGTTGAGTTGGGCTGAAGATGGAGACAAGGGTTTTTGCTTATGTTCTTGTTTCGACCGTTAGCTGCAAATCTGAGAGCCACGGTCAGCTTGCAGATGACGTGAATCAGAATTTGTTTTAGGCACAGATTTTAGTTCTTCTCTTGAGGAGATAAGCAGCGCTTTTCGTAACTAGGGCTGCTTAGCGATCTCAGACGGCTGCCAATCTCCACTATCTGTCAGCGCTTCGTTAAGTGAAGAACGACCCGAGTCATTTCGCGCCGCCCACGGGATTGCATGTCGTCCTCACTATATGATGTTTTTGACGGTGGAGATGGGGAGAACGGGAAGTGGAGAAAAATGTCCGATTCTGGGGGCAGATGCGAAGACGTACACTCTCATCTGGCTTAGCGGCTACCGGGTTCTTGCCGCCAGGCAAAACCTAACTTCGGGGAGCCAGAGATGAGAACTGGGTGCCAGTTAAGGGACATGCGGAGCTGTCACCACCCGCAAATGGCAAATAACGCGCCCTACCCGTGCATGTCCGTGTATCACGCGAAAACATGCTAACCCTGGAGGTTAAAGAGCATTTACTGTCTTTTCGTAAAAGACCGTGCAAGAAACAAAAACGACACTGACAGAGGCTCGTAGATAACCGCATGTTTAAAAGAACCGGCTATGGACTATCAGTATCTTTATACTGAAGGTTTGTAGGAGCTCTGCCTGTCTACTATCACGGGTAAATATCTATCCCCATATGGACATGCTACCAAAGAACTAATCACTCCGCACTTTAGTTTGTGGAGCTGTGTATAGGCTGTCTTGTACTGTCGAGTTCATCGTCTTATCAGAATGATTTTTTAACACCAAATAGCAGTCATAACATTCAGCCATTCTCTTGGCTGCGAACTACTTGCGAAATACCCAAAGGAATACGAGCTGACAAACCATAGTCTCAGCATTCAAACCACACGCTGGCCATATTTATGGTTTGATCTTCACTGATGACTTCTTGATAAACACTGACAGACAACGTCTTAGATTGGGCTAATTATTCACAACTGCATATTAACAGTAAATCTCTACGACTAGTCTGGCATTTGCATCGACCAGTTGTTAATACGCGTAAAACGGGTCGAGAGACAATGTGGGCATCCCGCTAAAACTAATTTTTGCATAATTGCTTTAGCTCGAACAGCTAATCTACAGTTCAAAAAACGATCTTTTGATGACTTAAGAAAAACTGCGGCAGGTCCTTCTCTTCAGCGTCTTCTATGGCCTGTGGTACTTTCATTCAGGTAATTCCTGTAATCCATCCCTCTTGCGCCAAGAATGGTAAAATCGACACATATTTTATTTCAGATCCCGCGTCTCAAGAATGCAAATGAGGAAAGATAAACCAACAAGACTGCTGGAGGGGATATTTAACCAAGTAAATGTGGAGAGACTTGCAAATATTTTTTGACTCGCATACCATGGTCTAGGTCAAATTTGATGGTAAACTTACAGGTCAAAAAAATACCAACCTAGAACATGCGTTAATGGTCGTATGTGCATATATTAGCTGCCTTTGACTGTGATGAAAGTGAACATTTAACATTAAATATATATTTATATATATGCATTCATATTTAGGTGGCAAGAAAGGCACTACTAAACTCCGGTTAAATGAAGTGCTTATGACCCATCTGGTAGACCCCGGTGGTGATCCAGCTGGGCCAGGTGTGTGTAGGCATGTTTGTTTTTCTTATCCCCGTTGGTGACCAGGGTTACAGTTGACCGAATCAAGACAAACAAGCTCGAAATAGGTCTGTGTCCATCTACACCCAGACTTTTTTTCCCTATATGCTACCATATGTACATGAATGTATTGGTATACGCAATTCCGCAATAAAAGAATCATGAACGGGTAGAAAGCAATATAAATTGGTGTAATTCCGCGATCACTTCCAAGTTGATTTACTTTTCGACCTTGTTTTCACTTTGTAAATTAACAACTTTCATGTCTGCAGAGATAATGGTTTGTTACTTCCGAAATCTTTGTGTTCAACGTACTTCAATGATCGCAGTTTCCCTAAAAATAGTCAGGACTACACGGAAATTAATATATACAGTTGTTATGGTGTTTAAGAAGATTGCAAAATGCAGGTTTTTTCTTCAACATCAAAAAGTGCCTCTAATGTCGTTTAAAGCGAATTGGCGAAAAAACGGCTTTTGGAAAATTATTCTCCGTATAGGAATCTTGGCAGGTCAACGATTATTGAGAATTATTTAATCCAATATCACCTAAAATAGTGCTATTTTGCGTTATCCAACATCCTCTCCACCAGAAGACAATTGAAGAAGTTAAGAAAAGTAATGACTCAGGAAAATGAGACACAAAAATAGAAGTTTGTATTTGCGAACTGAGGTCCATGGAGACCTGCTTGACGTCTAAGGATATTTTACAAACTTGTTGGGTCTGCAAGTTCTTCGGACCCAGTGTTGGATAAAAAAGATGAGTTAATTTAGCTTTTTGGCCCACGGTTTAGTTTGGCGCATACTCCATAACACATGAGTCTAAACAAAGTGTAATATTGTCGATTGAAACATGTTAGCGAAAGGAAGCTGCAGAAGGGCTTTGCGTTGTTAAAGCTTCATCGAGTCCGCGCATTGTCCTGCCAAAATACAGCAAAATTACTCCCATGCACATACTTTGAAGTTTGCCGCCGAATTATTATGAGTGCTTATCTTACCCAGGTAAGTTTGCGAAAAGCATGAAAGGGGAATTTTGTTCGACCACTGGCCTATGTGAAAAGGGATGGCAGTCAAATGTAACTTAAATTTTTCTGTTTAGAATATGAAGTCCTAGAAAACAATTTGAAAAGGCAATTTGGCGAGCATACGTTTGCTTTCGATAAATTCTCTTCTGGCCTGTACATTTATATGGCTATTGAAGTAATGAATGCAAAAGATACGGGTAGATAGGGGAGGGTAGGGGAGGGGGAGGGTGAGACACCATAATTCCAGTCGGCGCCAGGGGGAAGGTGGGTCCCGGCGAATGCAGTTACATGCGGGTGTCTGGCTTGGTGGCTTTGGCCCATGGTAACTGTGGGGCCTGCACGAAATTCTTCTGCGCGCATAGGACCGGCCGGCGTAGCCTAATTGCAGCCGCCTCTGCCGTTGCCAACAAGCGCTGCCCAAGCAGTTTTGGATAGCTTGATGGGACCTTGTAGATCACTCTGAAGGCCTCTGTGGCGTCTACACGGTGGCCTGTGTCTACCATGTGCGCGAGGATCGAGCTGTTGATGTTCTTAATTTGTCCCTTTCCTAACCATGCTGGGAGATGTTCTTTCATTCTTTTGGATAAACGCCGGCTCGTGCGACCAATATATTCTGCCCCACAGGAGCAGGTGAAGGAGTACATACACATAGAGGTGGTCTGAGCTGGTAGTTTGTCCTTGCCCTCTCCGTATAGGATGGGACTGGTGGAGAACAATACACGGGTGTCAGCTGCTGGAAAGGTCTGTGCTACAGCTTGGGTTAGGCGTCTTCTCAGAAGTTCACTTGGTGCATCCCCTTGAAATGGGACCCTGATAAAGAGCCTTTTCTTTCCCGCCGTCAGCATCGGGGGCTTTTGCGGTCTTTCGGCCATGTTCTTAGCGATGAATCGGTCAGGATACCCGTTTTGGCGAAATAGGCTTTCGATGATCTTAAGCTCTTTCTCAACGCTATCGGCTGAGCAGATTCTTCTCACTCTTTCTGTCAAACAGCGGACTAAATTACGTTTAACGTTTAGCGGTACGAAACTCCCAAAATGGGTGTATTGTCCGGACCACGTTTTCTTACGATAAACGCTACGTCGAATGCTGTCGTCAGGTCTTCTACTCAGAAGCACATCCAGAAAGGGAAGTGAACCGGCCTGTTCTTCTTCCAGAGTGAATTTTATTGCTGGGTGCGCTTGATTTATGTCATGCAGTAGCATTGAGATGTCGCTTAGTTTCGGTGCAATCGCGAATATATCATCCACGTATCGCCCATAGTATCGTAGACCGTTGATCTGGTGACGTAACTGGACAGCTTCTAATTTTCCCATGAAGATATTCGCCAAAAGCGGGCCAAGGGGCGAGCCCATTGCTACGCCGTCCATCTGCCTATATAGATTGTTGTCGAATAGGAACTGTACGTTCAATAGCCATATAAATGTACAGGCCAGAAGAGAATTTATCGAAAGCAGACGTATGCTCGCCAAATTGCCTTTTGAATTTTACAATGGGAATTTTCGCAACTCTAAAACAATTTGAATTTTCCTCTCATTTTACGGCGCATATTGACAGATTTGTAATTATAAAATTATTGTTAATTCTCGTCTTTAAACTAGTATAACTCTTTCGAGTGCGTCGCATCTGAATAAAAAAGTGCATATGGTAGCTTTACATGAATGGTTCATAACAGGATTCCACAAATGTTAGTCGCATTTATTTAAAAACGTCCACAGTAAAGATGGGTTTTCAGTAGAAATTTTGTTTAGCAAAAACTCAAGCAGAATTTTGTAAAGCCAAACGAAGTAAAACATATCGCTAGCCAAATTCGGTCTATACTAGTTTAAGAAGAAGTTTTTATAGTGCCAGGACACATGTCATGTCAGACTTAAACAAGTCAGAAGTACAAGGCTTAAAGTAAATCTACGAAGCCCGTTTACGGGAAACTTCCGTCTTTAGAGTGTCAGAAGATGCAGATTTACTCTTTTATTAATGAATGAGATGTCGAAGGCCGGACCCAGTTGCACAGCAAACTCAGCTCGTCTTCTGACGGGTGTTTCATGGCGCCGGGTTAATCGGCGAAGAATTCATGCAAAATGAAACTGTCCTGTAGGGAGGACAGTTTCCCTGTCAAACAATCACGTCTATCTTCGGCCAATTTCGTGCACTAGGCGAATAACTGCCTGAGGCCGATAGCAGGAGGGGTATTGAAATGTGCATTGACTCCGACGATTGCTGATATACAAACTAGCAACTCTGAGGCCTTTTCCCAAGCGCGACATGGCTCATCATATCAAACAATATTTGTGTAGTTGCATTTTCTAAAAAAATAATTAATGCAAAATGGTCATCCTGACTACTGAACGAGGTGTAAAATACGTTAGAGTTCCATCCAAGTCAGCGCCTATTCAGCAATATTTTTGGATTTTTTCTCCAAAACTCTAAGAAAGATTTTTGCTTTCCTGACCTCACCCAACTTTGCTTTCGTTCAAATAAAACGGCCATTATCAGAGCACATAGCAATAGACCACCGTGAATGATATCTTTTAGTATGCTCGTACTCATAGCCTTAAAGTTTTAAAATATGTCTTTTACCTCATTTAACACAATTGCAAAAATCTTGGTGGCCTTGGTGGGATTCGAAACCACGACAGCAAGGCCGAAGCTTGCGTACAGCTAACGCTTCAACCACCTCGGCTACGGGACCCCACCGGAAGCAGTGAGTTTAATTACATTTGGTTCAATTACCCACTCAGTTCATTGCGACGCCTGAAATCCGCCAATTCTGATATAGTAAGCTGACTGATTAAGAGGGCTTTTCTAAGCAATCGATCGAGAATCCACCAGACTGTCACCAGGCTCAATTAATCAATTAGTGTTTTCAATACATTTGAAGTAGTGGCCCTGGTAGTCATCTGGGGAATTGTAGATTGATTGTTTAGAAGTGCTTACCTGGGTAATCAGCTTACCGTATCAGAAATGATAGATTCCAGACGTCGCAATCGGCGGGGTGGGTAACTTTACCCAACTGTGATAAACGTCACAGCGTCCAGTCGGCGCCTCGTAGCTCAGATGGTTAGACCGTTAGCTGTACATAAGCTCTGCCTTTACCGTCGTGGGTTCGAATGTCACCGAGGCTGCCGAGTCTTTCAGAACTGAGGGTTAAATAGTTTAATTAAAGCTGCTAGAAACACCAACTGATTATATGCATATTACGATGCCAGGAGAACTAAACAGTACTAAACTGAGTCATCACTGCCTTGAGAGGCGGCCTTCCTATAAAACTACCAGACAGGTCATGCTCCAATCAATTTTACCGCCAGACGACTGCAACATTTCAGCTGACTTGCATGACGACAAACGTCCGCGCCCAGGAGAACCATGCTGTCATTTTTCCTCTAACTCCCTGTCCCAGTGCGCATCATATCCCGCGGAAATCTCGTAGACAAGCACATGATAACTTTTGTCTTAATGCAAAAGCTCAAAAGGAATTGGTTTAGAAATCCCTATCTGTGTACCGTTCTGTGCTGCATTGCTGGCTAAAAAGTCGCGGTTACCAAAGAAGCAGTTGAATCTCCTGAAGCAATGCCATGAACAGAGGCATTATAGACATAGACAAGAATTGTTTGAAGCAAAAATTACCTAAAAGATTAAAAAGTGGGCCATGGGGATTGTTACAGGTTGCATTCTAAAGGCCAATCCACAACGCTGCTGGCCAGCTGATCAGCAATACGCCCTGTCCAAAAAACGAGGGTGAAAAAGTAAGCAAAACCTAATGGCACTCTGTGTTTCATATCACTGCCAAATGCCCGATGTGTACGAAAGTGTATGGACAGATAAGTAAGCAGTGGTTAGCAGAATAAAGCGAATGCCCTAAATAGTTAAACATGACATTGTGAATGTATCCCAAATATATATCAGAGCGCAGCTATGTCCGAACGATAATGAGACATGTTGCCGCGTAACATAAAATCCTACTATGGCTGCACAATGTTTTGGGGGCTACCCCAAAACTTTATCCACAGTCGTTGCTATGAGGGATGTCTCTGCTTGGAAAGACCTAGTAGATGTGTTGACTGTATTTTCCATTTCGTCATTCTACTTATTACTGGTAGAAAAGACGTTCAGACGCCGCTGTGGAAAGAGCATTTTACTGCTTTCCTAGTCCACAGTCCACTGAAACAACATTGCAGGCACTTTACAAACCATAGAACTGGTTCATGTTGACATATCAGATATTTGTTACTCTTAGCAGCCGCAAGACGCGTAGGTATACATTGATAGCGGTTACAAATGGCAAGGTTGATGGAACTTCCAAGAGACAGTTATCAAAGCACCAACATCTAAGGTCATATATACCTGACTGTTCTGTTCTGGAGTGCAGCTTCAGAAGAAGAAATTAAACAGACAAAGACAGCAAATTTAAATTTCCAAATGACCGGCTTTTTAAAATTATTATCTCATCAATAGTGAATTTCCGCGGCTTTAGTAGTAGAAATAGTGCACACTGTGTCAAATGATTCAAAGGCACGTTTTTATCAGACAAACGTGTTTCGACGTCAAGCTTGCGATTATCTGCAGAAGTAGAAATTATCATAGAACTCAAGTTCATAATTATCAAAGGAATGGAAAGAATGACTTTAAAGATCTCACTAGCTACTTGGTCCAGAATGTGGGTACGTTACAGTGGTTCTCATATTTAATAAGTTCCTTTATAGGGACTTAAAATAATAATCAGCGAGTGTGGGCACCGGCACTTCGTGTATGGTCCAATACCGTGCTTGCCCTTAAATGCATTGAAGTAGAACGGCTCGACGGTCGAGTGGAGAACCATTTTCAACGCAGCGCGTTAACTGAATGAGCAAAAATTTGACTTTAGGAGCATATTTCGGTGTTAACCCAATAGGTTCCTAAATAGGACACTCACTTTCGTATTCTGTGTTGCCCAAGACAGTGATTAAATGGGCTAAGGCACAGACTTTCCGTTATGCTTTTTGACTTCCCCGGAAATGAGTGCGCGATTTTGGAGTTACCTTGCCGACAAAAGACGTTTCCAGTTGAGTCCGAAACGTGAGGTAGGTATCTAAGTTGGAATACATCAAAATCTGTGGAAAAATGCGCCATATGCATCTTCCACGAGCACATGTGGACAGCTGGGGAGATCAAAGGACATGTTTAACCCCCTTTTCCATCAGCATTTTGCAGCGCCACAAAAGTGACAAAACACGTTAATGCAATTGTAGTTACTATTCATGTCATGAGTACAATAAGTCGGGCACAAAATATTTTCCTTCTCCTTATTATGCCCGAAGTATATTTTTGTGTGTTATCTATGGGTTCAATGTTCTTTTCACGTGCAAAGTTAGAATGTTGGAAAACGTTAGGCACTCACGTTTGCAGTACTGTAATCAAAACTACTTTACGCCAATGCTAGTAGATTTGTTTCATCTTAGACCTCCGCTGTTAACTAATCTTAATAATTTTCGCTTGCCGTAAAACAGTTATTCAACAAAACACTTGTCTGTTTTATTAAATACGGGTCATAGTACAACTGGCGCCCATTGGAAAAGCGAGGGTATTAGAATGCAGTTGGTTCATTGGGCAAAAACTGTGGTTGGGATAGAGTGTCTTTGAGGCCGTCGGAAGACTTCGTTCAGAACAGTACTAGGTGACAACAGTCACATGGAAGCATTAGACTCTATCGACTGCAATAAGTAAATATTTATAATATCGAAAACATCTACTAAACTTCTAAAAGCTGAACGTGGCGGAAAGTCGACCTCAAGCTCAACAATATGGGGTGGGCTTAGGAGGTATAGTAGGTGTGCTATTTCATGAAATGTTGGCTAAAATTCTCAAATCTCTTTGCTAGTGTTGTAATATGAATTGTCGTGCGACACAATCCCTCGGATCTCAAATAATGAACGATATCTTTCATGTTTGGAAGAATTTCTAATTATCAGATTTTCTAAGACCATGCAACCCACACTGAAATCTCGCCAAATATGTCCTTTTATTAATGCTCGTCAAGAGGAATAAACAAATGTTTACGTCCATTGTTCATTGTTCTTATGCATTATTAGCCCTTTATAGCGTCCTTCTAGTGGTTATACAAGACAGTAAAATTTTCTTCACACGGAGATTATACAATCTATAAAATAGAAGCCCTAAATGCAAATACAAGGGCAGGTCGTACTTAAAATTATTCGGGAACTGAAAAACGTCTTTAATACCCAGGCATACCCTTTCTTTGAAAAATAATTTGAGGAAAAGGACTGATTTTCTACCAACAAAAGGAAGAATGAGACGCATGAGAATGTCGATAATTATTTTTAACGAAAGCGGTTTTTGCAGACGATCGAAAGTAAGTGCAGTAAAGATCAGGAGTCCGCCGCCCGTAATCTGCTGGCCCTGACTTGAGGTTTTCAAATGTTACAATATAGAGGGTAAATAAAATCCAACACGCAGTCAACATTTTATAATCTTTGTTGTTTGTTTGAGTTTTTGCACTTGACCCTGCACACAATGGGTGGTTTCCAAAACATTAGGCCTTTGGATATTGAAAATGTAAGTGGCATCCACTGGAAATTTTGATCCGCCAAAAATCAAACTACGATCGCACTCTCTCGAGATCGACAGAAGGCATATGGTGTACAAAACGTGAAACAGTAACGAAACAGTCTTCCCATAGCACAAAAGTGTTCGGGATGATAAAAAGGTTTACAGACGTTGACATTTGCCTCCAGTGTTCTCACAAAAACTACACGTCTTAACATGACGAATAGCGAATAGATTGCGAACTGTAGGCATGTTAACGCTAAAAAAACTACAGGCGTCGCCTTAATTCTTTTCGTAGGCAGATGACCTTATAACAGGACACACTTTTCCTAACCACGGAATACACATTCACGTGAACAGCCTCTTGTCGTGGGTCAATAATACGTGCAAGCGCATACAGTAGGTGGGCTAACTTATGAAATGTCAACCGAAATTCCGAACAAATAGCCGAAAGATGCAGATTTTCAACGATTCGGCATTCGGTCTAGACAGTATTACACGTCACGGCAGGGCGGTGGGGACCGCAGAAAAGACCAGAAACAGTCACTTGCGAGGGCGTTAAGGTAGGTGGGCCGAGGGTGGTCTGGGCTGCTCCATCAGGCTGGAGGGTTTATGATTTGATGCCGAGAGCAGGGGGTAGGAAAGAATATTAGTGCAGTATGTTTGTATCTTTTTGCCGTGAGTCTACGTGGTGTAATGTGGTTGTACATTGCGGGACTCAGTTTGACTCAGGGTATCAAGAAAGCTGCAACAGACGAACTATGCGGAAGTAAGGCCAGGTCACTCAACTCTTCAGCCACCGCCTCTGCCATATCTAAGTTATATGTACAATATAGAATGCTGACTGTGCATTTTCGTTTCTGTCTTAACTTATTACAGCTTATTTAGGAATGAAACATTTGTTGTTACATAAAGGAATATATTTTTACAAGACGTAAATTTGTGCCCACACTTATTTTGACCGTAAGTGGCTTCTGGCTCACCCTTATGCTTTGTCATATCGTATGTGGCATCTACCCTGCCCTCCCAACCCTGCGTAGATGCGCTAGGCCAGGACGAGCGTCAGACTAGCCCACGACATACGCTTACGAGGCTGTGCTTGGCCACGAGAATCACTATATGCATCGTACGTGCGTTTTTCTGGCAAGGCTTAGACGTAGGGCTCCAATACGAGCCAGTCACTGCGTTCAACCACACCATCAGTTGGTCAAGAGGCTCTGGCTGCCGACTAGTCACGCGAGAGGAAAGAGAGAGAGAGAGAGTGAAAGCGGCATTGGGAAACCCTCCGATGGCACATTAGCGTATTTCGGCCTACAATAAACCTGATGAGATTAAATCTCTAACGACACGTTAACAGCCGTAGCGTAAAAGGTTGCCGGTTGAGGAGATAACTCGTTCGCTCTAGGTACTGAGAGTCAGCCTGCAGAGCGTCCTTTTTAATGCAGCCGTTTTGGCATTTAGAATAATGAGAGCTCGCGACCACGCTTGCAGTAGCTCAGAACACAAAATGAGAAGCAGGACGTGTGTGGTATGCCTCGGCGGCTTGTTTAACTCTGTTAGCCACTGCATCAGCGCCCATTTCAAATAGTATAAACTGTGTCTTGTCATCGTACTAAGATGAAGGAGAGATTAGAGTGCGAGAGGTTCTGCGCAAGTCACGTCTCGCTATAAATCCATTCGTGCGCAGGTCATCCGTGATGCGCCCACTCCTTAAGACATGCCGTCCACGTTGTCGCTTGCAATAGTCGACATGTTGGCACCTGTATGCTTTCGCTGTTCTGCCTGATACAATTAATGACGCTAGAAATGTTAGGTCATCGAATGGCTGAATATAGTAAGTGACCCACTAACTCCCCAATAATTGGCTTTGAGAACGATCAGTTTGGTTAGTGCTGTGTCTTTACACAATCAGTTAACAGGCCTCATCAAAGTTATAACTTTTCTTTATTCAACGTTTGTGTCACCTTTCTATAACTTAAAGGTTTTTGCAAAATAACATCGTCAACCTTTATCCGTTCTTCCTGAGTAGATGCGATCTTCACCCGTATCCCACTTCTGTAGACCACTAATGAGTAACCTTTGATGGGCTAGGAATTACTTACGGTTCATGGAATTGAGAGGAACAGCAGCCCAGAGTCTGTGGCTCCTTTCATTTGCACAATTGACAGATCAGCTCGCAAACCCGCTTGGTGTAAGCAGTGACCTTCTGCTCTAGCATATTTTAACCTGGTGGTTGTCAGTTATCCGTGTAACACTTATTTAGTTCAAAAAGCATGCTGAGGTGTCCACTGATTCAAAAGACGTGCCAAAGATGTGTTGTTCTTTTTTCACCAAGAGCCGTTATGTTAATCTCTTTTAAGTACTAGTGTGGTACACTTATCTTTTACGAGAGAGTTTCCGGTCAGATGTGGTTATGTAGCCCCACATGAAGTGAAAAACCCCCAGTCACCTGTAATACGGAACCGGTGGTATTAGGGGTTTTTATAGGTGGGGCTGTGGAACGCACAGTCGACAAGGGTCATGCAGTAGCATGCAAAAGAAAAGCTACTGGGAATGCGCGGTCGTACTCTGAGTGGTTGAGAAAATATTGCCCTTACCCTACGTCCTAACTCTAACCCCCAACCCTAACCCCAACCCTAACCTCTAATCCAAACCCCTAACCATAACACCTAACTCTAACCCCCAACCCTGACCCCTAAACCAAACCCCAATAGTATTGTGTCCATCATATGGGGCTACATAATCACATATTACCGGGTATCCGTGTGTGTATCTCCACACACGGTAATTATGCCATTTTTTCTTCTTCGTACCTTCTCTCCACGCTTTTCCGCTGAACGTCAATCCCTATACTTCCCATTCTAATGCCTTACCCCAAGGTCGAGAGTCCTACGGCGAGAGCCACAGAAATCACCTAGGCGAACAAGGCCATTGGCTGTTCCCCCACTAAAGCCCGTGATCCATGTTGGAGAATGGCGGCCGTCTGCTGCGACAAACCAGCCCTATTTAGGGAGAGCACTGCCTTCCCCCGCCGGGAGGAGGAGGCCATAAAGGTGTCCTAAACAAAAGTGGGCTCACGTCATCTGCGCGTAGATCGTGGCTCGCAGACTACTTAGTATGCGGTCGAAATCAAAACACAAGACCAAATACTCTCTTTTCTTACTTGCCCACCGCCACCCCCCGAAAGGCAGCTAGGGTGAGTCTGTTCACTCTGGCGGCTTGGAATATTCGTTCCCTTTCAGGTATTCCCAGGAGCAACCAGCCAAACGATGCCAGCTGGAGAGGCGAGTATTGACCACACCTTCTAGAGCTACCGTCCTATTGCAGGACGACGAGGCATGGGCGCCGCCTTTCCCACCAAAAACGACATCGTGGGACGGCTGCCCAATCTGCCACAGGACATCACCGATCGCCTGATGAGCCTCCGCCTGCCTCTCCGAGGAGGCAAATTCGCCATTATCGTCAGCGTTTACGCCCCAACAATGGCTGGCTCAGATGAGGCAAAGACAAAGTTCTTAGAAGACCTGCACACCCTGTTGTCGTCTGTGCCGAAGGCGGACAAACTAGTTGTCCTTGGGGACTTCAGTGTCCGCGTCGGCACTGAATGCGTTGCCTGGAGAACGTCCAAGGACAATGACTTTCTCCTACGAACCTGGGCTGAACACCATCTCCTGCTGACCAACACATACTTCCGCCTGCCGATGTGGAAGAAAGCCACCTGGATGCACCCGGTTAACGGCGCTAGTAGCTGTGGACTATGTTCTCGTTCGGTGGCGAGGACGGCAGTGCGTAATTGCAACGAAGACTATCTGCGAAGCCGGTAGCTAGGCGGAACACTTCCTCGTCATCTCCGAGATGCAAACCCGCAGGAGGCAACGAGGTAAGCGACGCACATGTAAGTTGAATACCGCTTTATTGTCATGGCCTGTTCACCGTTTCCATTTCAGCAATTAAATGACCCAACGGCTGGGAGAACTGCAAACTGCAAATGAAAACGCCTCCGTGGAGACTCGGTGGTGTCGACTACGGGACGCCGTTCACAATATCGCCCTGGCTGTCGTCGGCCGCGCACATCGCCAGTACCAGGACTGGTTTGACGAAAATGACGCCGCCATCAGTAATTTACTGGTCGAGACGAACAGACTGCACGAAGCCCACCTCGAGCGCTTAACTGATGTGAATAAAGCGGTCTTCTGTCAATGCCGCCGCCTTTCACCAAAACGTTTGCGAGAAATGCAGGACGCCTGGACTGTTTACATGGCCGAGAAGACCTCGGGATATGCCGACCGCAACGACTCAGATAATTTCTTCGCCACAATCAAGGCGATCTACGGCCACCTGATCAAAGGAATCGCACCATTTCTCAGATCCAATGGATCGGCGTTTTTGACGGAGAAGTCGCAGATTCTGAAGCTCTGGGCCGAGCAGTTTAGAAATATCCTCTACCGCCCCTTGTCAATCTCCGACGCCGCCATCGACCAACTCCCCTATGTGGAAATAAACCTCGATCTGGGTCTTCCGTCTTCCCTTCCAGAAACCGGTCGCCCCGTGCAAAATCCTTTTAGCGGGAAAGCTTCAGGCTCCGAAGCATCCCAACCGATATCTACAAACCAAGCGGCTACTGTCTGAGGGTCTCAAATTAAGACGCTATTTCAGGAGATGTGACCCTGTGGACAAGTTCCTCAGGATTCCAAGGACGCAAGCATTGTGTGCCTCTGCAAGCAAAAAGTGAAACGGCAAGTCTGCGACAATCACAGGGGCATGTCACCATCCTAAACCGCCCGCGTCCTCAGTCGTCTCGGAGGACATCTAGAGCAAGTACTTCTACCAGAAAGGCAATGCGGGTTTCGGTGACACCGGGGGACCGCTGGCATGGTGTGTGAAGTTCGCCAACTGCCAAAAGGCGCCAGGAACTACTAATACACTTCTACACCACCTTCCTGGGCTTGACGAAGGCATTTAATACGATGAATCGCAAGGGACTAGGGAAAATCATGCATAATTTCGGCTGTCCTGGACGATTTATGCGCATAATACGTCAGCTCTACGAAGGGATAATGACGCTATCCCCAAGGCATTCTCACTGAGCAGTGGAGTAAAGCAGGACTGCGTCCTCGCGCCTACCCTCTTCAGTCTCATGTTCTCCGCGATGCTGACGGATTCCTATCGCGATGAGCGCCCTGGGATACGCAGCGCCTAAGGAACTGACAGGCATCTCAACGGCAGACGCATTCCGGCCCGAACGAGGTTATCTACGACGACGGTCCACGGTCTGCTCTTCGCCGACAACAGCGTTCTCAACGTCGTGGCCGAAGTGGACACGCAACGGAGCATGAACCTCATCGTCACCGGGTGCGCCAAATTCGGTCTGACTATCAACACGGACAAAACCAACTGTCGCACAACACGCAGCACTGCAATCAGCAACTCAAAACCGTGGTCAATTTTGTTTATCTCGGAAGCATGCTTTCGAACAGCACCCGAATAGACTATGAGGTGACCCATCAGATCCTCAAAGCCAGTTAAGACTCCGTGTAGAATCGCCACGGCCTCCAATTGAATACCAAGGCCATTATTCCCTTCGGAGCGGAGATTTGGACCGTCTACTCCAACCATGACAAAAAACTCAACTGCCTTTGTATAGTATTAAAGCTGAGATGGCACGACAAGATCCCCAAAATGGAAGTTCTAGAACGAACTGGCATCCTTAGCATTCACGATATGCTGAAGCAACTACAGCTACGTTGGAGCGACCAATTCGTGAGAATGGAAGACACGCGACTACCGAAACAACTACTCTATGTTTATGTCGACAGCAGTGCTCGCCGACCGAGAGGACCAAAACACTGCCACAAGGACACATTGAAAAATCTTCTTAAGCGACTGCATATCAATTCTGAGACCTGAAAGGACCTCATCCAGAACAGCTCGACCTGGAGGAGAGGAATGCAGACCGGCGCTGCCATCTACGAAGCAAATAGGATCGACACCAGCAAAGTTAAAGGAAAAACTGGCAAATCACAAATGGCTCGCCTCCTCAGCATTACCCATCTGCCGCTTCCAACATGCACGGACTTCCAACGTGCATTGCGCGCACGAATCGGACTCTTTGGACACCTTCGGACCCAATGCGCCATCAAACCGACAACGTCTGCCTTTTTTCTCACATCTGCACCTGCCGCAAACTCCGCGCTGACCGCCATCCATGTCGTCGCCAGACCCACTGTCGGTGCCCCGCCAACACCCACCACAACCATCCGTCCTGTGTAACTCCCCGCATCGAGTGCAGCGGCCAGCATCACGACCACCATCACCTCTTCATGCATTCATTCTACCGGTGGGACGACGTCTGATGCCTCATCAGCTTCAAGCAACACCAACATCCCCAATTCCAGCGATTTGGACTGGACTTATACCTGCCCTAATTGAGATCGTACATTCGCGTCACACATCGGTCAGGTCGGTCACTTGCGAATCCATCGCACAGAGATTGGTGAACCAGTGCCTGGAGGGCCAAGCTACACTCGTCGCATTCGCCTCTATTGCACTCTCTGCGTTCACAAATTTGGCCAACGTATGGGTCTATGAGGACACATGCACATTCAAGAAAACCTGCAGTAGGCAACCGCTGGCTACACTACACGATCACACTTTCCCCCACCAGCACCATCACCTCCCAACACCATCACCCATCAAAGTCACGCAATTGCCACCTCTGAAGCAAGTGCGAAGTGTGCTTTTCGGCTCCTTTTCCATGTGGTTGCATGTGTAATCCGAGTTTGAGATTACCAAGGTGCGCCAGATGCCGTGGCATGGAGGGCCGCAGACTGACGCCCCAACTCAGTCCACGCAGTCTGCCCAGTTGTGTGTTTGTGCGGAGCGTCGGACTAGTAGGCTGAGAGCCAGGCTGTCACAGCTCCGTCTTAACTGGTATCTGACTCTCACGCATAGGAGGAGTGTGTGTGTGTACTTTATGGGAAATGCCTTTCAGTCACCGACTGCTCGGTTACCTAGCCTTGAAAGGTGACATTCGGGGTGAATGCAATGCCATGTGTCACCCTTCTGAGCCAACAGGTCTGTAAGCGTCTGCTATACCAGGACCAGCAAACTGTGGCCCTCCCAGCCAGGTAGGCGCAGGCCGTTCTCTGGTCCCTGGTTCCCTGCCGGTGGATGCGCTTGCGCTCCCGCTGAGTATGCAGGTCGAGAGCATGGCTGCCCAGTCATCCTTCTCCGTCTGACCCGTCCTGGTGTTGTTGTTGGTTAAAATCCCGACAAGTTACTGTACTGAGCAGGAGATGTGGAGTAGGGCGCCAAGGAGCGGGCATGGCCGTGCCATTCACCTGCGTTCTCCCTCGCCTCCAGGGTTCTTGAATCTGCCTTGACACCGGGTCTAGGAGGGTGAGGAGGAGGAGGGAGTGTAGTAGATGCGACGCAGGTCTACACTTACTATAGACCAATTCACGCGCAAACCATCTTGCCGGCTTCACCTTGATGCAGAGCACATGGTAGACATCGTCGGACGCGACTGCCGAACTGTAATTTACAAGCGCTAATGGCTGCTTTGAAATTTCAATATCTGTCTCATGCACTGGAACTGGCCTTGTGTCAGAATACTGTTACCTCTGAACACTTGAAGTTTTCAGAAGGAAAATGTGAAATAGGATGGCAATTATATCCATCGCATCCTTTTTGTTCCGTTAATTTTTCGACCATAATAATATCACGATTCGTTTCCCGTCTATCATTGATAATAGTTTGCATGTCATATTTTGCTCCTAACCAATACGTTCTTGATTTTTATGCCGACCTCTTGGCCATCTCCTCGGAATTTCCTACATCACTTGCTCCAAGATACAAACTAACCCAAAAGTGTCAATTTTCTAAGACATTGAAACCGTTTTGCCTCATACCAGCAACCTTGTTGTGCTTCATTTCCTATACTTAAACAAACAAACCCAGTATAATGTTAAACTTAAAAAAACTTATTGCAATTTAAAATGTGCTGTGGATTAGACAGTGTTGCTTAATTTAAGCCGTATCAACGACCGGCAGCGCATTTGAAAGATCAGCGAATGTTTATTTTAAAAATTTGTAGGCATCAACGCTATAAGGATTTTGAAATAACTTTTCGCAGACAACATATCCTTATGCAAATTTCGTCCGCTGTTGCAACATGGAGCAGGTCGCGAACTGTCGGTTGTACTAAATGAACCATTCCTTATGACATAAGAAAGGTACAAATTCCGCCTAAGCGTAGAGTTTACGGCTTGTACGTTTTAAGCCCTAAACGCAGTGGAGCAAGAAAATGTGCACTGTTGAGGTAGTCTTTTTTAGTTGTGGCAATTCTAAGTTGTCCGAAATGTTTTTCATTCAGTAACAAGCATACCGTTGTGCATTTAATACTCCAGAACCGTTTTGTTTGTCGGTTTATATTACAACAATTCTTCAACAATCCTTTCAAAGCAAAAAACTCTAATAAAAAAGTTTTACTTAATCCAAGATGGGTATTGTTACCGGATTCAGGTTTGTGTTCATATTACATAGCGCTTCCTCAGGTGTGTTTTTGTAAGTGAGGGATTAATTAGGTAGGATTGGCAAATTATTGTCAAGCAGTCGATCAAATATATCTCATTTCCGTCAGGATGATGGCATTGGATTAAGTTTTTTATAACCGCACACGAAAGCCTGTTTTGGCAGAAATTACTCCTTAGCTCTTGTGAGTATTTTCCACTGATATTTGATGCTCGCATGTGTTAAAATGTATTTTATGGAAAGGATGCGCAATAATCCTACATTGTGTCCTCACTGGATAGTGAACTGTGGTTTGAATTTTTTACTTGTTGCTTAGGAAGTATGTGAAATGGTCAAAAACCTTTGAAATTTTTTAGGAATCCTTTATCATCTTTGTAAATTAGTCCTTCTTATAATGTTTGCAGAATGGTCTACATGCCCTGGAATTTTTCCTGAACCCCATATAACGTATCCGAATTGGTGTAGGAAAGCGTACAAATTTGCTTTACGGAAAATATCCAGCACGAAGTTTGAAAATCTTAAGTACAAGTGCAACTGCAAATCCCGTACAACGTTCTTCAGAAATGAAACAAGAAATATTTCAAAACTTTTTGCATAGGCAAAAAATTGAAAAAGATTCAGTCTACTACCAGTTGAGTAAAAAATAACACTTTTTTGTGTTTTCTGTAATATATGCTTGAATGTTAAACGTTATCGAGATTTAACAATGCATGCCACGTATGTGGTTATTTTAGCCGAATTTAATTTTTGGATACGTCCGGAAAGAAGCTCTTTCAAAACCCGACACCCCGTGATGACTGAAGTGTTTTATGACTATGCAGAACACCAATCAATTTACCAGCCACATTTATGTAAGCCTCTCCAATCGAAATCGCATTCCAGAACTTTAGTCATCGTTTCCTAGTATAGGTCAAATGCCATCCTTTGGAAGACATTATAAGCGCCAGTTCTGAGCAGCGGAATTCATTAGGCAAAATACTATGTAACACCGTGAGAAACTGGCGGCGAAGATATGGCCGTTAATAATACATTCCAAATAAAAGTGTTCCGCCCTTTGTTTTCTTATCTTACAAAAAAAGCTAAGGTGAAAATAAGAA